ATTGATTTTTGTGTGTTCACTTTGTTTCCTGCTACATTGATGAATTCATTTATTAGCTCTAACAGTTTTTTGGTGGAATCTTTAGGGTTTTCTACATGTAAGATCATATCATCTTCGAACAGATAATTTACTTCTTTCTAATTGGATGCCTTTTATTTTTTTCTTGCGTAATATTTCTGGCTAGAACTTCCAGTACTATGTTGAGTAAAAGTGGCAAAAGTCAGCATCTTTGTCTTGTTCCTGATCTTAGAGGAAAAGCTTTTGATCTTAGAGGAAAAGCATTACACCACTGAGTGTTTTCCATATATAGCTTTTATTATATTGAGGTTGTTTGTTTATATTCCTAGTTTGTTGAGTGTTTTTAATTATGAAAAAGTGTTGAATTTTGTCAAATGCTTTTTCTACATCAATTGAAATGATTGTGTTTTTTTTCCTTTATTCTGTTAATGTGGTATATTACATTGATCAATTTTTGTACAATGAACTGTCCTTGTGTTTTAGAAATAAATCCCATTTGGTCATGGTGTATAATACTTTTGATATGCTCCTAAATTTGCTTTGCTATTATCTTGTTGAGGATTTGTATATCAATGTTCATAAGTGATATTGGTTTGTAGTTCTCTTGTAGTATCTTTGGCTTTGATATCAGGTAATGCTGGCCTCACAGAATGAGTTTTAGAAAAGTTTGAGAAGGATTGGTATTACAGGTTGAGTATCCCTTATGTGAAATGCTTGAGACCAGAAGTGTTTCAGATTTTGGATTTTTTTTGGATTTCAGAATATTTGCAGAATACATACTGGTTGAGCATCCCTAACCCAAAAATCTAAAATCAAAATGCTCCAATGAGCATTTCCTTTAATTGTCATGTTGGCACTCAGAAAGTTTCAGATTTTAGAGCATTTTAGATTTCAGATTTTCAGATTAGGGATGTTCAACCTGTAGTTCTTTAAATGTTTTGTAGAATTAACCAGTAAAGCCATTGGTTCCAGGGCTTTTCTTTGTAGGGAGATTTTTAATTACTGATTCAATCTCTTTGCTACCTGTAGGTTTATTCAGATTTTCTATTCCTTTGTGATTTCATTTTAATAGGTTTTGTGTTTCTGGAATTTGTTCATTTCATCTAGGCTATCCAATTTTTTAGTATACAGTTGTTCATACTACTCTATTATAATCCTTTTTATTTCTGTAGAATCTGTAGTAATGTACCCATTTTCATTTCTGATTTTAGTCATTTCAGTGTTCTCTCTTTTTTCTTAGTCCATCTAGCTTAAACATTTGTCAATTCTGTTGACCATTTTGAAAACCCAACTTTATTTTATTGATTTTTTCTTTATTTTTTTTTATTCCCTTTTTCATTTATCTCTGCTCTAATCTTCATTATTTCCTTCCTTCTGATAGCTTTGGATTCAGTTTGTTCTTCTTTTTCTAGTTTCTTAAGATGTAATGTTAGATTGTTTATTTGAGATCTTTCTTGCTTTTTAATATAACTGTTTATAGTTATAAATTTCCCCATTAGATCTGCTTTCACTGTATCCCATAAGTTTTGGGATGTTTGTATTCATGTCTTTCATCACATTTGGGAAGTTTTCAGCCATTATTTCTTCAAATATTATTTCTGCCCTTTTCTTTCTCTCTTTTCCTACTGGAACACCCACAATGCATATGTTGGTCTGCTGATGGTGTCCCTAAGGTCCCTTAGGCTCTGTTTACTTTTCTTCAATTTTTTTTATCTGTTCCTCAGACTCGATAATTTCTGTTGTCCTATCTTCAGGTTTGCTGATTCTTTCTTTTGCCTGCTCAAATCTGCCTTTGAATCCTTATAGTGAATTTTTCATTTCAGTTCTTGTACTTTTCAGCTGCATAATTTCTTCTTGGGTAATTTTAGGTTTTCTGCCTCTTTCTTGATATTTCCAATTTTTTTGCACATCATTTTCTTGACTTTCTCCACATCTTCCTTTAGTTCTTCAAACATCTTTAAGACATTTGTTGTAAAGTTTTTGTCTACCATCATGTTCTTTTTCAGGGACAGTTTCTGTTGATTTACTTTTTCCCTTTGAATGGGCCATACTTTACTGTTTCTTTCTATGCCCTGTGGTTTTGTGTTGAAAATTGGACATTTGAATCTAATAATGTGGTAACTGTGAAAAGCAGATAGACTCTCCTCCTTCCCCTGGGTTTGCTGGGTTTTGTTATTGTTTTTATTTTTTGATGGTTGTAAGTTGTCTCTGTGTTGAGGATCGGCCTGAGGTGTAAACTAAAGGTCTTCTCAGGTGTTTTCTAAGGTTTTCCTGGGCATGCAGGGCCACTTTCTAATTTTCCTCACACATACAGTCATTTTTGGATGTCCTGGTCTTTAATGTCTGGCTCCCAAAAGGGGAAAGGGAGAAAAATAGCAGGGAGAGTACCAGTGCTTTAAATCCCCCAGAAGTCATTTCAGCTGGAGGGGAGTGGGAGGGGCTTTCAACAGTTAGGGGAGGTGCAATAACAATGGTCACTGGCCTCTTTGTCTGCACCTCTGTGATCAAAAGCATCAATCAGTGATCAGAGGACATATCTCTGATATTTGGAGGACAGGGTCCTTTTTGTCCACACTGACTTCTGCAAACTGTGTGCAGGCTGCTCCGGGAACATGTGCACAGCTGCTTGCCATAGGATTGGGGTGGGTAGCTGCAACTGTGGTAAAAGCTAAAATTGACCTAAATTGATTGAAATTAACCACAGTTTACTTCCAAGCCTTTCCCTGGAAGTTGCAAGCCTTCAATATCATGTCAGTGATATTTTTGAAGACAAATCATTTGTCCTCTGATTGACTCCAGAGTTCCAAAATATTTAACAGCAGACAGATTCTGCCAGTACAATTGTTGTCTAGATGGAAAGACAGATTCCTTGTGCTTCCTACTCTGCCATCTTCCTGGAATCTGTATGTATGTTTTTAAACAATAGGAAGTAGAAAAATTTTCAAGAAATATGAAGGGAACCACTAGGAAAAAAAAAAAAAAAAAAAAAGGAAAGAATGACAGATGGCCCCAACTAGCCTAAAATGCAAGCCAGTTAAAAGATTGACTAAAGGATACTTCAAAACAGATGGGAAAAAATTAATTCCATTTGAGAAATTGGAAACAGGGCAGAATATTGTGTTATTTCAAAACCTAGCTTAAAAAATAGGTTTTAAAAGGTTTTAAGTTGCCTTGAAAATTGGGGTACAGTTGAAGTGAACCATAAATAGGTAATATTCTTATTATCGGGCTTTAATTTTTGTGTGGGAGTGGGAGGTAGGTGGGTGAATAGAGCATCCTGGACTTTTGGTACCATGTGTTTCTGGAAACTGCAGAATGATGCAGATAATCCTAAAGTAGATTGTAGTTTTCAGTCGGAACAAAGTTTTTTATTAAAGGCTCTCTACCTGACAAATGATTTGTCTTCAAAAATATCATTGACATGACATTAGAAAGGCCAAAAAGGCTATACACTCCTGTAATAACTTAAAATCCTAACGCTAGCAATGTTGCCTGAACCAGTGGTGCTCCCTGGCACTAGCTGGGTTTTAATGGAATTTAATGGGTTTAATAGGAATTCCCTGTTTCCATGAGGCCTTGTCCTGCTCTGGGCTGCTCCTTCACACAGCTGGGCCTTGGAAAAAGCTATTGATACTAGAGTTAGAAGAGGGGAACGAATATTGAGGGTGGAGGACTTTTGTAGGCTGCTGACCAAGTAGCTGCTATATAAAATTAGCTACTAGGGAAACCCCAACTACATAGTGCCTGTGGGGTTGATGTTTTGACACAAATGTAATTTTTTGCTTAGAGAGGAAGGTAATGGTTTAAGTACCGCCCATCATGTAAGAGGAGAGGTGCACTTCCAAGTGTTCATGTAGAGTATACAATTAATAATTTTTCAGTTTGCCACTTTAGAAAATTTGGGGGGGATTATTTTTTAAATGACTTTAATAAAATTTATTTTGGAATAATTTGTGATTTACAGAAAAGTTGTGAAGATAGAACAGAGCGTCTCTGTACACCCCCCACTGAGTTTCTGGTATGAGAAGTTCTCAGGAAAGTTTGAAATGATGTTTCACAGTTACTCTTCTTTCCCTTCCCTCTTCACATTAGCCAAAGCTCCAGCTGTGTAGTGTCATACCTCTGAGGAACAAGGGCTGCTAAATCTCTTCAGAATTACTTCTTTGGAAAAGTTATAAAACACGATTACCAAGTCATGTCAGCAAACGCAATTAAAGATGAGCTTTCTTAAACTCACTCATAGAACTGCTGAGGTTAAACTGTCTATATTGAGTGAGATATGGATCCCAAGTGTAGTGAACCCAAAGTTCCCAGAGGAGAACAACTGGAGATACTAGCATTTAAGAATATGCTCTTCTCTATGTTCACAGTATAGCAAGTACAGTTAACCCTTGAACAACACAGGTTTGAACTGCGTGGGTCCACTTATATGTGGATTTTTAAAAATATATTGGAAAATTTTTGCTTAGGTATGTCACATGACATACCTAACCAAACAGTTAAGTAGCCTACCTAACAGTAGGCTATTAGTAGTTAAGTACTTAAGTAGTTAAGTTTTGGGGGATTCAAAAGTTATATGTGGATTTTCAACCATGCAGGGGGCCAGCCCTCCTAACTTTCCCGTTGTTCAAGGGTCAACCGTAGGTAACAATGTGGCCTTGGAGCCACACTTTCCAGGTTGCAATTCCAGCTCTGCCATTTACTAGCCATGGAATATGGGGCAAGTGACTTAACCTCCCTGTGTCTTAGTCACCTAATCTTTGACATGAAGCTAATAGTAGTCCCTATCTCAAAGGTTATTGGGAGGATTAAACAGATGAATATGTCTAGAGAATTTAGAACAGTGTCTGGCTCAGTAAACATTATTGTTAATTCAGCTGTTAATATTCTTGGCCTCTAGGACTTAGGAGAATGGATTAAATGAATCATTGAAAATACTGGGTGGTGTTGATAAATTTATTTTCTGTGCTTGATTTTAACAGAAACTCAGCTACCTGTGACAAATTTGAGTGTCTCTGTTGAAAACCTCTGTACAGTAGTATGGACATGGAATCCTCCTGAGGGAGCCAGCCCAAATTGTACTCTGTGGTATTTTAGTCATTTTGGTGACAAACAAGATAAGGTAAGTTTTCTGGAACATACTGCATTAATGAGGTAAAGTGAACACTATGAATTGGAGCCAAGAATAAGCCACATTCTAATCTTACTTAAAATTGGGAATTTTATTTTGGTGTGTCCAGATTTCAACTGGGAAAGTTATAGAAACAACTATTGATAAAATTGTACATTTAGGGCCGGCCCGGTGGCGCACTGCTCCCGCTGAGGGTTCGATCCCACATACAGACTGGCCGCTCACTGGCTGAGTGAGGTGCGGGCGCGGCGACGAGGGTTGTGATCCTGTTGCCGGTCCCTGTCCAGTGCGGGCGCGACACTGAGGGTTGCGATCCGTTGCCGGTCACGAAAAAAGACAAAAAGGAAAAAAAAAAATTGTACATTTAAAAATATTTGCTAATTATTTGATTAAATGCAATTGAGATTGCTCGGATAGGAAATACTAGATATCTTCATTTATTAGGCATTTAATAAATAATTCATTATTTTATTGTTAAAATTTGTTCCTATGTTCCTGCCTGTAGCTATATTGCCGTGTCAGGGAATTTTCACATTTACCATATTGTTAATCACATGGACATATAGAAATGCAAGAACTATGTGGTGTAAAGGTAAATGGCCATATGGAAAGTGAAAAAATAAAATATCAGTGGCAGGTGGGTTTGAGTAGAGGGTTTACTGATGCCTGAGGAAAACTTTCAGCTTTTCCAGTCAAATGTAGTCAACGGATTTAAGTGAATTTTTGTTAACAGGATTGGATATTTTCAGGTTCTTTATGATAATCTTATTCAACTGTTTTATATCTTTATACTTTCTTTCTGTGTGTGTGTTGGTGGGGGGGGGAGTATTGGGGGTTGAATTTGTCCAGGATTTTGAGGGGGCAGAATGAGAAGTTGTTAAGTTGTTATTAGTGACAATATTTTGGGTCAGTGAATCGTGAAATCACCAAGTTCAATCAGCTTTGGTGGCAGGAGGAGTCAGGAGGACTAGGTTCTCATTGGCATACTGCTTTTAGCTGGCTCAGTGGCCTGAGGTAAGTTACTGGCCTGGGGTAGGTTACTTAACCTCTCTGAACCTTAGTTTCCTTGTGTGTAAAATGTGGCCCTGCTCACTTCCCTGGCTTGCTGGGACACAGAAAATAATGTGAGAGTTTAATAGTGAGGATGGAATGCGCTCTTCCTCTGGAGGGAAACTTGCTAATCTGCCTTCCTCTCCTCTCTCCTGCTGAGGTGTTAATTATGGCTTAGGTATTAATTGATAAATAATTGAGGCTAGTCAGAAGTATTTGCATTTTGAAAGAGGTCCTCTAAATATGGGAACCTGTGATACTTCTAGCAGCGAAATTTCTCTTTACACATTGTTGTTTTTTTTCTTATTCCTAAGGAAAGAGCCTTAGGCATTTGGAGTCTTAGTGGTGATATTTGGTACTTAAGCCTTAGAAATTCAGGAAAAGACCCTTAAGTGCCTCTGAATATAAACCCCATAGTCACCTAAGTATCTAATTGAAACTCTGAGGAGATGTCACCTTTTTTCTAACATGTCCCTTTTTCATCAGCCTGTCAAGGATCAATCAGGTAGACTTGTTAATATTCTAGCCCATAAATGGGGTGAATCCCTCAGTTAAAAATGGTTTTAGGAGGCAGTGGAATCAGACAGAATTGGGTTTGAAATTTAGTCTCTTCCCCTTTCAAGCTGTGTGACCTGGGGCAAGCCACTTAATGTCTCTGAGCATCCATTTTCTTGTTTGTAAAATGTGGGGTGGGTTGGGGGGGTAATAACAGTACCTACTTTATATGGATGGTGTGTGTATTAAAGGAGATGAGGCTCGTAATGCACCTGGCACAGAGTTAGTGCTAAGTAATTGTTAGCTTTTATTATCATTACTATTGTTACATTTAAAAATATGAAATTGCTACTTCAATGGGTCAAAATGGTTCAATGTTGTCAGTATTATATGGTTCAGCCTAATATTATCATTTAATGTTGTTCCCTCCATTTTGCTCCTGAAAAGACCAGATGGAGGCCATAAAGAATGACCTCTGCCTAAGGCCTGCTCATTTATTTTAGCCATTTGACAGTGCTGGTGGCTATCAATCCTGCAGTTGTGATAAACTTCCACCTTCCTTCCAATCAGTGACATGAGATTTCCTATCTAAACCTTTCGAAGTTTACCATCCTGAGGCTGGAAATGAGTGGCAGGAGTAATTTTCCTCTTCTCTTTATGTCCTGTGGATGCCGCATTAACATCATCAGGCAAAACTGGGGTGTATATATCCCCGAAGCATACTAAACCGTGACATTTTGATAGTTCATACATGTTAGGGGGTTTATGCAAACGTCCAAAGGTCTGAAGTTGCTAAGTGAGATAAACTCTGGAGGTCATTTTCAATCTTCAGATTGGAGGCTTATCAAGATGAGAGACAAGGATTTGTAGATGACATTCTAAAAAGAAAAGATTAGTGTAAGTGGTTGCCCTCTGATATTGTTTATTAATGGCTAATAGTCCCCTGGTTCTACAAGTAGAAGAAGGATCTGGCATCAGATTTTAGCTGTCTTTCATCACCAAGGATAGGCAAGCCCCTCTAGGTAAATTAATCAAAAGGCCAGGCATCCAGAGAGGCAGAAGCTGAAACTGACTCCTTTCCCTTCTGAGAAAGGAATTCTCAAACTGGGAAAGGTGAACATTGGTTCACTTTAGCCAAGTGAGCATTGGTCCTGAGAGGGAGGGATCAGTTTAGGACTCTGGCCTCGGGTTTTGATAAATTTTCAGAGGCCAGATTCCCTGAGAGGTGGAGCATAATGTCGTGCAGCAGCTACCAGTGGAATGATTCACCAAAGCCAAAAGTCATTTGGGAGCCATCACACATACTTCACCAAGAAGTGATAGGAGGAATTTAGTTCCTTGTCTGAAAGAGAGAGGTATGCTTGGCTTGGTGATCATTGATAATCGGAGTTCCTACTTTATTCTTTCCAATTTAATATTATTTACCTTGAATTTTGAAAGAGATTTTTAAAATATATTTTTAAAAATCTTTCCTCCTATTGTCTCTTTTATAAGTTATTTTATTATTCATATGCCTAAAACATAAGGTTCAGATTTAGTTACTAACATATTTTTTAAATAAACTCTATTATAATAAAAATCTTTGTGTAATAAAGCTCCTCAGCCCTCTAACTAAAACAATATCTAATATAATAAGATAACTAGGATTTTTCCATGATGATTATGTCACCAAATTAGGCTCTTGGGTCCCAAAGTCGTAGAAAGGAACAATGCACCCAGCAATAAAGCAAGCAAAGTTTTATTAAAAGAGGAGATAGACTTATGCATAAGGGGGTAGCTGTAGGAAAGCTAGCGACCCGAGGCGAGCTGTTCAGGGTGCTTTATAGGGCAAGGGGTCTGCACCTCTGGAGGTGATCCATTCTGTTCTTCCTGGTTGTGTCACGGGTGCATGCTCTGTTAGGGCTTTGGTCCTTGTGCTTTCTCAGTAGGTCCAAGATGGTGGTGGTGGTCATTATCATCACCCCAGGAGTGTCATTGTAGCAGTCACCTTGAAGCTTTGTGTGCATGTGGAAACTCCTAAAGGGGTCTTAAGGTTAATCTGTGATTTAATTTTTACAAACAAGCCTTGGGGAGGGGATTTGCAACTCAGTGAAAATCTGTCTCTTCTTATATCAGTTTATTTTATCAGGGTAGTTATGCCCAACCGGTCTCTTTCAGTTACTTTTTTCAGGACAATAGGGTAATCATGTGCCCTGGGGGCTCTCATGACTAAGGAGTGGGAAAGTAACAAAATGTCCTCTGTAGGGAAAGTGGAGTCAGTTTGGTTCACAGGCCTAGCCCTATCCTGTCTCAATTCTAATTTATGGCATTTGACCGTATATTTTCCCCCAGTGTCCTTAAAGGGTAAATGCAGTTTCCAAACAAGAATTATCAAGGATCCTAGGGTCAGGGTGACTCCTTCAGAGATATATAGGACTTGTGCTTAATAAAATTGTGAGGTTGGTGAAATTCGCATTTGAAGCCTTCCTGCCACCATTATGACGATCTCGGGAGCTGTTCTTCAGCTTCACAGGCTCAAAAACCTTATTTCCTCAGCACACATTTGTTTCTCAAGGGCCACTTACTTACTTTGCTGTGAAAACTATAATGGTGAAGCGTTCTAGGAAGACTTCTGTCAGCATAACTGGTGCATTCCAACCCTGTAGGCAGAGCCTATGTGGAAAGCCAAATGATAAGTAGATTTCTTGGTGAGGAATCAGGAATTAGTTGTGAAAATGTACTTAGCTGAGAGTAGCTGGAGGCCCCACAGAAGGTAAGCATAGCTTTCTTTGCCGGTGGGACAGAAGTACTCACGTCCACACAGCTAAATCACCCTCTCTTTTCTCTCTGCCAGGATTTTGCTCACAGATGTTTCTTTTTCTGTTCTTCCATGGCTGACCAACTCCCTTTTTCTGAGTGCTGTCTTGACTGGGCCTAAGATTTGTCTCTATAAAGTGATTTTTTTTCATGTCTTTGCTATGGTTTATTAATTGTTAATTTGTTAGCCACTTCTCAGACGGCATCCTTCTGTCCTGGTTTTGGGGGTATTCCACAGTTGCCAAGATGCTCAGCTGGCAGCAGGCATATGAAATGGCAGAATATCTCCTTAGGGTGATAGATAGAGCTAACTGTGGCTAATTTCCCCTTCATGGCCATCAGCACGTATATAAAAGGAAATACTATCTCAAACTTGAGTCAGAAACTATTGTAAAACAGGAAGCACTGTCCTTGGAGCTCTGATTGAAAGCAGCTCTATTAATTCTAACTCTGTCACTTTGGGAAATGTTAATTTCCTAGAGAGCTCTTTAATTTCATTATTCTAAATCATAATAACCATATTCGTGATTTGTGTCTATATAATGTCAATAAGTTGGCTTTCTGTGGTTCCACAAAGCTTACCTACTTTTCAGATTAAGAGTATACTTAGTGCATATAGTAACCCTTGAAATTTATACGGGTGTGTGAGATAGTTCAAACAAACAGTACAGAAAGGAGTTCAATAAAAAGTCTCCCTTCAGCCCTGTGGCTCCCCTCCTTTACTTCCTCTGCCCAGAGGTAACCATGATTACTGGATTCTTAAAGCAATCACTTTTTACCTTGATGTTGATGGTATACTACATCTGCTTAGAATTGAATTTTGATAATTATATTGTATTTCCTTTAAAATTGCTTTTAGAGAGTTGACGTGTTAGCATGGTAGGTTTATAGGTAAATTTCATGATGTTTATGCATTTAAAATGTGGGAAATTGTCTTTTATCTGCACCAGGGTTTCTCAACAGTGGTACTACTGACATTTGGTACAGGCTAATTCTTTGTTGTAAGGGTAAGAAGAGCTATTCTGTGAATTACAGGATGTTTAGCAGCATCCCTGACCTCTACTCACTAGATGCCAGTAGCCTCCTCCTCCCAAGTTATGACAACCAAAAATGTCCATAGCCTAGACATTACAAACTGTTCCCAAGGGTGGCAGTTGTGGGGGGGGGGGGGGGGACGGACAGAATCACTCCTGGTGAATCACTGATCTGTACCATTTGAAAACTTAGCACTTTTTCCCCTACATATTTGGGCATGCTAATGTTTTATTACTTAAGTGTATTTCTGTGTATTTCCTGCAGCAATGCCTTTTAAAAAATTTTCTAACCTTAGAAAATTGCTCCAGAAACTCATCGTTCAGAAGAAGTACCCCTGAATGAAAGGATCTGTCTGCAAGTGGGGTCCCAGTGTAGCACCAATGAAAGTGAGAATCCTAGCATTTGGGTGGAAAAGTGCATCTCGCCGCCTGAAGGTAACAACTGAAAGCGCCATCTCTTGGTATTTAAAGAATAAATCCAAATGCTCCATATGCTTATGTTCAGTGTTCATTAATTCATTCAGTTCTCAAACACTTGCTGAGTGTAAGTGCCAGGCACTGTAGTAGGTGCTGACAACACAATGATAAATATGAGGATGTCTCTGCCTTCAAGGAGCTCACAGACAACTTGAATACCATGCCTAATAGTTATATAGCACTTAATAATTTGGAAATTCACACACACACACACGCGCGCGCGCGCGCGTTAAATCGAGCTTCATAAGCTTATCTTGTGAAGTGAGTAAGGCATGTAGTATTACTCTGATCTGTTTTATGAAGAAAGGAACTGAATGACTTGCTCTAGATCTTCAGATTCCAGGCCCAGTACTTTAAAAAAAAAACCAAAAACCCAAATACTATCTTACTCATTATATATGGATATTAGTTCGACATACAGAATATATTTGGAGAAAGATGTTAAAAAAGAAAAATAGGCATGCTGGCCTAGCTCCAATACAAGACTAACCCTAAGAAAAGCTGTCAAGTAGTGAGGTTAATCAATGTCCCTTAATTCCACATTACTCAATGTCCTTCTGGTTCTTATGTTACTTACAGAGAGTAATGTATACTGATTAAGAGCAGGGCTACCAGAGACCAGCCACCTAGGTTTAAATCCCAGCTCTGCTAGCTAACTACTAGTTGTGGGACTTTGGACAGATTACTTAGCCCCTCTGCATCTCAGTTTCCTTGTGTGGAAGATGGGGGTGATGATGGGTATGATTGTTGAGAGGTTTACCTAAGTCATTATATGTGAGGTGCTTAGAATAGTGCCTGGCAAAGTGTAAATGTTGTATACGTATTATCTATTAATATTATGTTGTCCCTTGGTTAGGCAGGACCCCATCTCCCACCTCTGAACCTGTGCTCCAGGCCATTCTCTCTACCTGCCTTGAACTGATTAAAAACATAAGAACTATTTGTAAAATTATAAAATCCAGGACTACCGGGAGGCTGGGTGCATAGTTTAAAACAACTTACTTGCCCTATTTTCATTTTTTTAGGAGTTTAATAATCTGGAAAAATCCCCACTGAATTATACTATGATGTAAAATGGTTGATGATGTCTCAGTGCAGTACCCCTTCAAGGATCATGAGAGATAACAGGTTCACATTTTAAACAGAAGCATTTAGGGCCGGCCCAGTGGCGCACTCGGTAGAGTGCGGCGCTTGGGAGCGCGGCGGCGCTCCCCTTGCCAAGGACTTATAAATATAAGATTATGCATATTTTTAAAGAGAACCAAGTAATCATAAATGAAAAGGGATCACTGCACAGTCACTCACCAATGAAAAAAATGAGTATAACAAGTAACTTCTTCCCTTCTCTGACAACTGGTTTCAGAGATCATTCCCGTGAGACCTATCATTATGGGACAAATCATCTGACATCCATAAGGAAACATACACTGCTTCTTTTAACATACAATTATAAACATACAATTTAGGGGCCTTCCACAAAATAATCACCTAATTAGAATCATATATAAAGATTTAATATATTATTATACATTAAATATATAATTTAAAAGTAGGTTACACAGGGCCTTTCTTGGTGGTGAAATTTAGTATCTGTTACTTGACTTAAAATAGCCAGGCTCGGGCTGGCCCGGTGGTGCACTGCTACAGTGCGCCGCTTGGGAAGCGCGGCGGCGCTCCCGCCGAGGGTTCAGATCCCGTATAGAGACCGGTCCACTCACTGGTTGAGTGCAGTGCGGGTGCGACACCGAGGGTTGCGATCCCGTTGCCGGTCGCGGTACAGGCGCGACACTGAGGGTTGCGATCCTGTTACCGGTCACGAAAAAAGACAAAAAGGAAAAAATAAATGAATAAATAAATAAATAAACAGAAGAATTTAATTTGGAGATATGACACGTTAATTAAAATGGCTTTATAAAGGTAGGGATTTCAGATCAGAAAGATTTTAGGGCTCCTAAAATCACAGTACACAATAGACAACTACTAAGGGTTAAGTTATGCTTACCTTTTCCTGGAATTGCTTCAGGAGGAATGTTTAGTTTTTCTAAGTAGGATGTGTCAGTATTGATCAAAAGACAGGAAGGTGAATTGTACCTCAGTAAACTTAAAAACAACAACAACAAAATACGTAGTTATAGGAGTTGTGTGTATTTCCACATTCATTTAAGAAATCTGTAGTCATTGCCTATGATTGTCCTATTATTTGACCTTTTTTATTTTGTGACCAGTAAGGGGATCGCAACCTTTGGCTTGGTGTCGCCCGCACCGCGCTCAGCCAGTGAGCGCACTGGCCATCCCTATATAGGATCCAAACCGCGGTGGGAGCGCCGCTGTGCTCCCAGCATCGCACTCTCCCAAGTGCACCACAGGGCCGGCCCCTATTATTTGACCTTTAACCTCTCCAGTTAGGAGTGCAAGAGTTAGGGTCCCTCAGAGATAGCAAAGATGTTTTCTTTGTATCAGGATATATAAGAGAAGGTGGCAAACAAATTAGATGTGGGCTTTCTCCATCTTGGGTAACTTCTGGGCAAAATGGGGTAAGAGATTAGGGATTAGCTTTCCTTCACCATCCCCCATGGCACAGCAATTGACTAGTTTGCATTACAAGAAAGAAGCGTCCTAAACTTTTGGCCTGAATATTCTAGGCGATCCTGAGTCCGCTGTGACTGAGTTCCAATGCATTTGGCACAACCTGAGCTACATGAAATGTTCTTGGCTCCCGGGGAAGAATGCAAGTCCTGACACTAACTATACTCTCTACTACTGGTGAGTATATACAGTAGAGTTCCTGGAAGACTGACTGTGATTGTATTGAGAGACTTTGGATCCAACGTTGTTAAAAAAATAAAAGAACAATCCTATTCCTTTCTGTAATCTCTAGAATATGGGCAATTTGCTTAGTGGAAAAATGAATCTGCTTTTGGTGTCTACTTGTGAAAAAAACTTTCTATTTTTAGATATAGATCCACAGGATGTTGCAAAAAATGTACAGGGAGATCCCATGTACTTTTCACTCAATATCTCCCAGTGGTAACATCTTGTGTAACTATAGTGCAATATCAAAACCAGGAAATTGGCATTGGTACAATCCTCCAACCTTATTCATATTTCACCCATTTTACATGGACGTGTATGTCTGTGTGTATGTAATTCTGTGTACTTTTATCACATGTGAAGATATAGAATGGTTCCATCACCACAGGGATCTCTCAAAGTTGCCCTTTATAACTACACCTGCCTCTCTCCTGCACCCCTTGTCCCTCCATACTCCTCTCCCCAAAGTCTATATCCTCTGGCAACCACTAATCTGTTCTCTATCTCTATAATTTTGTCATTTCAAGAATGTTATTGGAACAGAATCCTACAGTATATAACCACTTCAGACTGGATATTTTTACTCAGCATAATGCCGTTGAGATCTATACAAGTTGTGCATATCATGAGTTCATTCCTTTTTTTTTTTACTGAGTTCATGATATGGATATACCGGTTTGTTTAACCATTTATTCATTGAAGGATGTCTTGGCTATATCCGGTTTTTTGCTATTATGAATAAAGTTGCTATAAATATTCATGTACAAGTTTTTATATGAACATAACTTTTCATTTCTCTGGAATAAATGCCCAAGAGTACAATTGCTGGGTCATATGATAATTTCATATTTAGTTTTACAAAAACTGGCCAAACTATTTTCTAGAGTGGTTGGACCATCTTAAATTCTCACCAGCAATGTATGAATTATTGATGTCTACTTTTAAAAAGGAAAATAATATCGTGACCAGAGTCAAAAAGTAGTTTAGCTTTCCACAAATTAACTTTGACATTTTGGTATTTGATACTTTTTCGTATTTGATATTTGTGACTATATTGACTACAAACTTTGTTAAATTTCTGAATTAGTCTTTGATCATTTCCTTTCCTTTGGAGCCTAGAATTATTAGCTACAGAACAAGGAAGAAAGGACCAGGTTAATCCAATTTGATTCAGTAAACCTTTATTTTTACTTTTATTTTTTGGGGGGGAGAGGGGGACAGCTGGTTCATATGGGGATCTGAACCATTGACCTTGGTGTTATTATACCATGTTCTAACCAACTGAGCTAAACGGCCAGCCCAGGAAACCTTTATTTAGCACACATTGTGGGTAAAGCACTGAACGGGCAGCAGAGACAACATGTCTCTTTGCTCCTAAAGCTTAACATATAGAGGGCAAGATAGTGCCCAACACAGTTCCCTGTATTAAAATCAGATAGTGTATGCTGAAGACTGTTGCAGAGGGATAGATGGACTCTGGTGGGAAGCTAGAGTCACCACTCTTGGGGTGGCGGCAGAGGGAGGCTGGAAGACTTTGATAAGGGGGGCAGACTGCACAGGTCGAGGAGTTTCTCAGAGGCTGCCTCTGGGGAAGAACGTTCCGAGCAATGGGCATATCTAGTCAGTGTGATACCAGGATGGAGAAGGGGAGATCTAGCTTCAGCAATCTTCCCTGCACATGGCCTTGTGCCCCTTACTATCGTTTGTTAAAACTGCTGCTGAGAGTACAGGGTGTGAAGGGCCATGTCCAGGACTTCCGAAACTACAGGATAAACGTGGCCTTTCCTCCTGAAGTGTCCATTTTGCCTGATGACTTCATGAAATGTATTTTTGGTATGTTAAAACATTCATGGCTGTATTAGGGAATAGCATGCAAAAAGATCACATGAATTTTTGTATGAAAACCTCTACAGTTGCCCAGGGGTTTGCATTCACTCTGCTCTGCGGTGGGAGTGTCCTCCTGGCAAAGGTGAGAAGAACTGCATTGAGATTATGTGGTTCTGTCTGGAGGTTTGGTTTTTCCCCCGGATGTAAATAATTCTCATTTGAGGTTTTGTAGTATCACTTGCCCACTCTTGGTACCTGTTGTTTCTCCTTTGCTTAATACCCTTCAGTAGTTCCCTGGTGGCTTCGGGATAAAGTACAAATTCTTCAGCGTGACAAAGCCCTTTATGACCTGGCCTCTGTCAACCTCTCCAGCCTTGGTCTCATCTCCCTCCATGTACCCCGCCCCTCTTGTAGCCTACTGTCCAGTCCACACCGAACTTCTGTTAGTTCCTCAAACTGACTCCTCAAACAGAATAGTGAGATTCAAACAGAATCATGGAAACATTCTGCATCCTTGCACAGCCCATGCCTTTCCTTTTCACCTCTTATTTGTCCTTGTCTCAGCTCAGACACCATTTCCTCTCCAGAAAGCCTTCCTTGACCTCTCGAGTCTAGATACGTGCCCCTGCATCATGTCCCAGGGCAACTTGCCCTTTCCCCACGTCATAGCACTCAGCACATTGTGTTGTCATTTCCTGTTTACTTGGTGACAGCCTGCCCCAGGCTGCAATGTCTCTTTAAAGCAGTGACTGTGTCTTGTTTCCCCCTGGTGCCTGACACATGGTAGGTGTTTCATAAATAAGTTGTGAGTGTTTGGTAGGATCTAGTGCTGGAAAACATTCAGGGGTGAGGTGAGGACTTAGGAGATATAAGCAACTCAGGAGCATTATAGTCCAGGGACGAACAGAGAAAAGGATTGAGTAGATCTGGCTTCCCAAGGTATTACTAGTGAAGAGGCCAAAGAACTAAGCCTTAGAAGGAATAGCCTGGCTCTGTTGATGTTGCGATGAAGTCTGGGGAGAGCTGTTACTACAGGATTTTAAGATGTCTTATGAGTTGGTGGCATCTCTGCATTTATTATGCTATTAACCCCTCTGCTTTCCCTGGAGTCATTATTGGTAAAACCACAGAGAAAACCTTTAAAGAGTCTGTATCTATATAAGGGGCAGGTAATGAAAGGAAGAAGTCTTAAAACTGTATCTCATTCCATCGCAGACTGTGCAAGAAAGTAACTCAGCTATTAGAATGTGGGTGGCACTGGAAGTAGGTAGTAGCCTAGTCCTTGGGGTTCTTATAAGACAAAAGTAGGGAAGTACCTTGGGGATATACACTCACACACCAAGTCTTCATGCAGATTGTAAAAAGAGTGTCCCCTGTGGGTGAGTGAATAACAAAAAACTGGACCGACCAATGTGAAAAGCATTCCTTTTCCTCTGGTTTGAGATGTTCTCTTCCTCTGGGGTGATAGAGGCTCTCTCTTGCTAAAACCAACAGCAGATGGTGCTTGGGCTGGCTTTCAGCCCTCAGTGGATGCCTTTTTGCAGGGAACAATCTGTACAGCCATTGGAGGTGGTTCAAGAAGCGATCCCACAAGAGTGGTGGTTCACTGGCACCCAAGGGAGGCAGGTATCAAGATCCTACTTCTTGTCATACACATTCCCAGAACTGGTTATTAGCAGGGGCTCCTTCCATAGTGTAGACCTGTACTGTCCAATACAGGAGCCACTAGCTACATATAGCTATTTACATTTAGATTTAAGTTAATAAAAATTAAATGAAGGCTTCAGTTGCTCAATCTTAGTAGTCAGTTTCACAGTGACTAGAGGCTTTTGTATTGGACAGCACAGATATGGAACACTTCCACAATCCCAGAAAGTTATGTTGGGCAGTGCTGGAGTAGATTCTACATTTTCTGCCCTTACCACCCTGAAGTTTATTCTTTCTAAAGCCACACTGCTTGGGTTCGAATTTTGGCTCTCTTCCTTACTAGCAATGTGATTTTGGGCAATTCTCTTCTCTCTGAGCCTCAGTTTTTTAATCTGTAAAATGGGAATAGTAATAATAGTGCCTACTTCTTAAGGTTGTTGTGAGGGCTGTTATTGTATGAAAACTGTTCAGAGCTGTGACTAACTGCTAGCATGTATAGGTAAGGACTCAGTACATGAGAGCTGTTGTTATGGGTTTTTATCCTTGCACACGTAGTCAGTACACACCAGTCAGTGCTGGCCTCTCCCCCAGCTCACAGAATTAGCACCTAGCCCATACCTACTCCATCCCTCCTCTCCTCTAGATAGATCCTTTCCAATCAAAACCACAAAAGAAAGGGAGTCAAGACAGTGCTTGTTAGCAAGCACCCAGGAATGGTTTAGTTACCAGTGTAAATCATGTCAAACGAACTGCCAAAGATTGTTTCCCCTAATCTCCAACCGCAAAATGTGGAGTCATTTTTCGAATTAAGAATAATCCTTTGAGGCCCCAGGGCAATGACTTGTGTCCCTGCATGTATAGTCTGGCATTTGAAGGAACTTGACCTGAGCAGCTACAGACTAGCCATGCCAGTACATTTTAAGGAATTGCTCACCACATTAATCATCTTCAGAGATGGGTGAATAGTCTTTAATTTGTCCATTTCCTCCTCGTGTCTGCAATGTGATTCTGTGAAGGAATTCAGTGTGTGAATTTTAACAGGAATCACCTGCTTTCTTAGGTTATCATCTAATCTTTCATGTGAAGTCCAAAAAAGCTGTCTATTCAAAACCAGTATTTTCCCTTTTATTATTATTTCTAAATTAAAATAAAATTGTTTTGAAATTTTGTATCTAGGGTCCGTGAGTATATATGAAATACTCAGGGTACAAAAATGAAAAATGGATTTTAAAAGATTGCTCATTCGAGGCGTGGGAGCAACGCCGAGGTTTGCAATCCCGTTGCCGGTCCCTGGTCCGGTACGGGGGCAACAGTGAGGGTTGCGCTCCGTTGCCGGACACGGAAAAAAAGACAAAGAAAAAAAAAATATCCTGAGGATGGTCAGGGATAGGGAGGAGTATAGGTGAGAGAAGTTTGTGGGTGATGAGTAGTAATTACATTATCCTATTCTCTCTACTCTGAGTTGTTTTAATTTTTCCATAACAAAGAAAGCTGCAGAGAGAGAGGAAGAGAAGGAGAAAGGGAGAGGGAGGGAGAGAGGGAGGAAGAGATAGAGAGACAGATAAAAAGGAAGGAAAGAAAGAAAGAAGAAAAATTTTTTCACCAAATAGAAGTAAATATGGTTAAGAAGGGGATGGTATTGAGGTGATGCTCTATTGTGGTCCTTTGTTTGAATCTCTCCACTTACGCCCTGTTTTTTCATCTCACTATAATGACAACACAGTGCCAAAAATCAATGTCTCTCAGTGTGAATTTCAAAGGAAAAATATGCAAATTATAAAGCTTTTTTTCCCCCTAAGGAATAAACAATAGAGTCTGAGAACAACTTTCCCTATAAAATAGGAAGAAAAGACCTCA